GAATATTGAAGACTGAATATCTTGAAAATCGCCCGTGTGCACTGCATTTTTCAAAGCACCCGGTTAAAAGTTCTTTTGCAATGTTTTCTTATACTTCTCATGCTCAGTGAATTCCAACACAGTGATTTCAATCATAATTACAGCTCCATCTGAAAAGAAAACCAGCTACAAACCTAGTACACCAGTCTGAGTCACTGAACATCTCAGAGAACTTTCCTGTTGTTGGATGTTTGAACTCAACTGACATGAAGGTTCCCCCTGTCTGGAAACGAGCAACAACAAAACTGTTCACATGGATCAATAGGAAACTTGACTGAACTGATATTGCAGCAGAGCTAAACTTCAACATTACAAGAAATGGGTGAAATCTGATAAACAAAAGTTGAAGGTTTAGCTATCATTTGTGGTTGATCAAAACTTAACTGTGCCATACTGAACATAGCTGTAATGTTGGTAAATGTGGGTCATTTGCCGGCTGCCCGAGGCGCCCTTGTATAACATCGCCTCGACCATGTTTAAATGTATTCATTGTTCCACGCTTAATGTCTTCATTGTACAGCGCATTTGAACATATGCATATGAAATTTGCGCTTTATAAATGAATAAATTATTATTATTATTTAATACTAATAACACCACATTTTTCTTTTTGAACTTGATAAATTGACGCATATCACTTGCTGGCTGAATGCTTCTGAAATCCTTTCATACTAATATTTGGTAGGAATTACCACAGCTATCACTTTTCCACAGCTGCCACTACCTTTCACAGCAGAGCTGGTGAAAAGGAGCATGTACTTACCCTCAAATCATTTCTAGGATTTCCAGCATGGAATGTGGCAGTTGCAGTTGTGTTCTGCAAACAGAGCAGTGAAACATGAAACATGTTCTTCTCAATACTGTGGAACAAGGATTAAGTCTGCATTACCAGAACTTTTCCTTGTAGTAGTTGCCATTTATTCACATTAACTTTTACATTTGTTTTTAATTAACCCTGCCATTATTAACTTAGTTTGCCTTAAACATATCACCTGTCTCTCATGTAAAATAAATTGGCCAAAGCCACCAGTTGATTAACTGAGATATTCATTGTCAACTCACTCTCTTGTAAGATGCATCAGCATCCTTGGACACCTCACCAAACTGTTTGAAAGGAGGAACTTCATCGAACAGTACCCCTGGAAGAAGGGAGATCATCTTGTCCAAAAGATTCTTTGGAGTCGGCCCAGGGGCAGGATCAGTTCCCTGATGGGGAAAAAGAAAGGGGGAATAAATGAAACTCAGTTGTACAAAAGAGTTTCAGTGTAGACTTTTACTGCTCCATTAGAGAATTTCCAATAGGAGCATGTGATGACACAGCAAATAAAAGACTTTCATATTAAAATTGACTCACAATGCATATTTAATCCGCTTATTTAAAACAAAGAAAAAAGGACACAAGTTTTGTTTTTCAATGATTTAAACCAAAATTTGTGTTTTTGCATTGTTGTTTCTGTTTCAAAGCTGAAGAGAAAAGTTACTGCATACGGGAATGTAATACCCATAACACAAGTAGGGCATAATATCCATGCTGCCTAGCTAAGGCCAGCTAGGAGGTAAATCCTTTCACATTGGTGTGTGAGTTGTGTCTGACTGTATCTAGTTAATTTGGATAACAAGCCACAGCCTAACCATTTTACCAGTTTAAGTGTGGCTCTCCACAAAATCAAAATCACGAATTTCATACTACAAACATCAGACAAATCTATTCCTTCTGGAACTCTGTGAGGAGCCGGGAGCTACCTTTGCAAGATACTCAGAGAGTTTGGTGAACTGGTTGATGTATGCCTGAAGAGTGTGAGGACCAAAGACAGTAGAAGCTCCCTCATAACGCTGGATCTAGAGGACAGAATATCGATGGAGGGATGTGTCAAACAAAGGACCTCTTGGATGAAATGGAAGCTGCACTGGCAGGCCAAAGCAACTCAAATGGGTTGCAATAGAATGGTTTGGCAACTGATATAGTAATGACAAAAAAGATCATTTTGCAGCCTTGCTTCTACTCAGATGTGGTAATGTGGTACAAAGAGCAAGTAGCATACCTGCAAAATTTGTCAAACAGAATGTTAATTATAAGGTCTCTCACATTGCATGAAGTCTGAAATCACCTTCTTGAAGCCTTAAAAATTCCAAAATAGTGTGAAGGATGGGATAATTGGGGTGCTGTGGTACTCAGAGCTTCTGTATATACATGATCACTGTCAAACGTACCTGGTATTCCTCATAGGTTGCGATGTAGTCTGCGTAGGTGTTTGTCAAGCCAGCAAGTACCACAATTGTGTCATTGGGCATTCCGTTTTGAATCAAGCTCTGAAAAATAATGAGTGAGAAATGAACATCTGCCTAAAATGACGACTTCAAGCTTCTTGTCTCTGATTCTTTTTGTCTCTTAATACTTAACATTCATTACTTAATTTGAAATGTGCAGATAAAACTAATTTCATGCATACAACAAAAACATCAAATAAAACCCGAGACTGTTGTAAAATGTATGAAAACATATTTACAAAATAGAGCCATTCAAAATGCACTGACTTACCTTTTGAGCTGCATCACGGGTTCTGCGACCAGACATCGTTCTTTGGAGGGATAAAAACAGCACCACATTTAATAAACAGAGTGGCGTATGAAGATCATTCAGAGACATTTGTAGAGACGTTTCAATTAATTAATTACTGAGAATTATTTTTGGTCAACCATCACATGTGACTTCAATAATTATCAAGACTTTTTTCACTTCGTTACCAACATTCAAATGTTCCAAAAAAATTTTTCTTAGACTGAATCAGTGATGCATTTGAGTCTTTCACAAGTCCTGTAAATCCATCAAAAGTTATCTGATCTTAAGTCAATACACAGGCTATTTAATTTACTTGTGAAAAAAAAACTTTTTTAGTCATTATTCACCTGTTAATTTTTACTGGTTTTGTCAAGGGAAGGGACTTGTGAGTGGACTGGTGATCGACTCCACAACAACAACGGTTGTGCTAAGAAATGTTTTTGAGATACTGTAACATCAACTTTTACACATGATGAAAACAGTTACATTTTCAAGCAACGTTGATGTTCTTGCTCACACAATTGAACCTACATGTATTTCTCCCCGTACCCAGGATATTCTGATTATTATTTAGGAGGCATGTGGACTAGTGGTTAGGGTTTGTAGCTTTTGATCATAGGGTCAGAGGTTTGAATCCAGCTGGTGGCAGCATGTTACGATCTTGGGCAAGTCACTTTACCCCTATGTGCCTCTCTCCATCCAGGAGTAAATGGGTACCTGTGAGGGCAGACTAGCTTATGTTTAGCTGTTTGTGCCGAAATGGCAGCACCGGGCTAGTATACTCCCCAGGGAGCTGAGATGGTTTCAGGAATGTTCAGATGATGTGTGAGCCCAATGTGCAGGGAGAATGATAATACAGCGCCTCGGAATAGTTTGCTAGATAGAGGGCGCTTTACAAGTGCTTGTTATCATTATTATTATTACACAATTCAGATCCCACATCCAAAGATATCCTTGATGATGTAGAAAAAAGGCAAACTCAATG